AAAGTCATGTTGTTCCCTACTGAAAACCATTTGTGTGCTCTATTTGTTAGTGACTTTAGGAGATACTTTAACACGACGTTCCATTAGCCAGCAGAAGTCTGGAGTTTCCATTACAATTGATGATCCAGTGCGAACTGCTCAGGTGCCCTCCCCACCCCGGGGAAAGATCAGTAACATCGTGCACATCTCCAATTTGGTAAGTTATTTTTCCCACAGTGCAGCCTGGTTGAGTTTGAGCTTTGGACTCATACTTCTTAGGTTCAACTCCTAAAAAGACAGATTGAGCAAGTTACTTAACCTCACAATCTGTCTTTTCATCTGAAAAATGGGGAGAAAAAAATATCACCTTGCAGAGTTTTCTTAGAATTTGCAGAAGGGCTGGCACATAACGCCTTAGGGAGTGTTACCATTCTTCTCACATTACTACCAGAGGATTCCTCACTTCTGTGCCCTCAGCAAACTTTGAAGCTGTACTCCCGTGACAGTGGCTTGGGAAATCATGATATTAGTTATCTGAGTATTGTTCTTCCACTTTCGTTGGCAGGTTCGACCCTTCACTTTAGGCCAACTGAAGGAATTGTTGGGACGTACAGGAACTCTGGTGGAAGAGGCCTTCTGGATTGACAAGATCAAGTCTCATTGCTTTGTAACGGTGAGGAGCAGACGAAGCTCTAGGTCAGGGGTCCTCAAACTTTTTAAACGGGGGCCAGTTCACTGTCCCTCAGACCGTTGGAGGGCCGGACTATAGTTTAAAAAAAAAACTAGTCGGCTGCTAAGCAACAGGCAGCGGTGGCAAAAACACCCGGCGGGCCGGATAAATGTTTTCAGCGGGCTGCGTGCGGCCCGCGGGCCGTAGTTTAAGGACCCCTGCTCTAGGTTATGGCATGTTTCTTTTTTGTGACCAGCGTGGCAGGTTTGAGGGCATTGTAGCAAGTGGGCAAGATTAAAGGCCTATTATGACCCCTCTGCCTTCTCCCTTCCCTCGCCAGTATTCAACAGTAGAAGAAGCAGTTGCTACTCGCACGGCTCTACATGGGGTCAAATGGCCCCAGTCCAATCCCAAATTCCTTTGTGCCGACTATGCTGAGCAAGATGAGGTAAGAAACTGAGGTAGGGGCAGGGGAGGCCATCTTCTCCTGAGATTCCTCTCTCTCCTCCCTCCTATTTGGTTCCTTTATTTAAACCCGGGGCTCCGAAGCCTCTGTCCTCTGGTACCTAGGCTCCTTCTGCGGGAGTGATGTCTCCATCCTGACTGTCCTTGTCCCTCCTCTCCTCACAGCTGGACTATCACCGGGGCCTCTTAGTGGACCGTCCCTCTGAAACTAAAACAGAAGAGCAGGGGGTACCACGGCCCCTGCATCCTCCACCCCCGCCCCCAGCCCAGCCACCACAGCATCCCCGAGCAGAGCAGAGGGAGCAGGAGCGGGCAGTGCGGGAACAGTGGGCAGAGCGGGAACGGGAAATGGAGCGCCGGGAGCGAACTCGATCAGAGCGTGAATGGGATCGGGACAAAGTTCGAGAAGGGCCCCGTTCCCGATCACGGTCCCGTGACCGCCGTCGCAAGGAACGTGCGAAATCCAAAGAAAAGAAGAGTGAGAAGAAAGGTACTTAGCTGTGGGGCACACATATCCACTGGGACATGGCGCAGGGACCCAAGTGGGATGGGACATGGGGTGCTGTGCATCAAGTCTGACTCATTTTCTTGCACCTCAGAAAAAGCTCAGGAGGAACCACCGGCCAAGCTTCTGGATGACCTTTTCCGCAAGACCAAGGCAGCTCCCTGCATCTACTGGCTCCCACTCACTGACAGCCAGGTGGGTGCCGGCCTTCCTGCCCGGCTCAGAGCTGCAGCAAGGCTGGGGCCTAAGGAACGGCTTAGGGTAATAAGGGAAGAAACAGCATCACGGAAAGAGGCAGTTTTAAGAAACAGTTGATGAGACTGCCCTGTAGAGAAGCCAAACCTGAGAGGGTGGAGGTAGACACAAAGACAGGAACTGTGTTCACATATCCTAGGAAGCTGGCTGTGCCAGTCATGCTTCTTAAAAATTAATTTCAGGTAGCAGAGAAATCTGTTTTATAAGCTCACCCATTTCTCTCTTTTTTAATACATAGGGTTTTTGCTTTTAAATCTGTTTCTTTGTAACAGGCCTTTTGGGAATTTTAGGTTTATGCCACTCAACTAAAGAGAAAAGAGATTTGTTCACATGTAGGCAGCTAGGGACATACCAGAGGCCAGGTATGGATGGTGCCCACTACCTGCTGTGAATGTAAAAGATAAACACTTGGAGGAACTGGGACTCTGAGGCAAGGACAAATGTCATTGTTGCGTGCCCCACCCCACCCCCCACCCCCGCCCCCAACACACACATATTCTTCCTGCTTAACAGCAAAGCCAACAGTGACCCTGAGCTAGGAGTGCCTGGTCTAAGTGCAAATAGACAAAAGCAGGACTGATGTGAGCTGGACTGAAATGCCTATTGCCTTTCCTGCCGGCTGCAGATTGTTCAGAAGGAGGCAGAGAGGGCTGAACGGGCCAAGGAACGGGAGAAGCGGCGGAAGGAGCAAGAAGAAGAAGAGCAAAAGGAGCGGGAGAAGGAAGCAGAGCGGGAGCGGAACCGACAGCTGGAGCGAGAGAAGCGGCGAGAGCACAGCCGAGAGCGGGACCGGGAGAGAGAGAGGGACCGGGAGCGTGACAGGGGGGAGCGTGACAGGGATAGGGAAAGGGAACGGGACCGGGAACGAGGCAGGGAGAGGGACCGCAGAGATACCAAGCGCCACAGCAGGAGCCGGAGTCGGAGCACACCTGTGCGGGACCGGGGTGGGCGCCGCTAGCTGGGAAAACAGTAGGGAGAGCTGCAGGCATCAGCCACCCTGCCCCGGGGTGGGGGCTCAAGGCCACAGAGGGATAGGTACAATCTCTTTCATGCCATTTGCCCAGTGCTGAAGTATGGCTGCCACCTGTCCCTACATACCAAATGGAGCAGTGGCCATCTTCCTCCCCTGTACCCCATAACCTATCTCGGGATTTCGCCCTCTCATTTCCCATGAAGTCTGTGAGAGGGAAGAGCTAGGTTAGAGAGGGAGGTGGTGGCCCAGAGTTGGGGAACAGCCAGGAGCCCCAACCTTTTTCATTTTTCCTCCATCCTGTTCACCACCTCCTTTGGGTACTCACACCCCTTCTTGGGAACAGCTGGGGCCAGGACTGGGTCACCTATGAGCTGAATCAGCCTCTCCTGAGTCCCAGGGCCCCTGCAGTTCCCAGTCTTTCTGTCCTGCAGCCCTTGCCTTCTGCCCACCGGTTTCACTTTATATCCACCTTTTCCTTTTGTTCAATTTTTATTTTTATTTTTTTTATTATTAAATGATGTGGTCTATGGAAAATAATAAAAATCTGACTTAGTTTTAACTAGTGTGTGAGTGGCTTTCCTTGGGTAGGGGCCGTGGGTGATGGTGGATTTTGGCCGGAGCCAGCATAGCTTTGCGCAGACTGCTGCTTCCCAGAGCCGGACTGACCACCTCCTTCCCTGCCTTGGCTCTAATCACACAGTTAAGGGGCTACCTCACTGGTGGGTAGAGGGGAAGGCCCCCTGGGTCCCGCTGGAGGCATTTTGGTCACCTGCTTTTCACCTTCAAGGTGCCTCCCACAACTGCCGCCAGGGGGCGGCAGCCGCTCGCCCGGTAGGCGCCTGTTAATGAGCTTCCCAAAAAGGCTCCACTCCCCACCTCCGTTCCCGCCAGCCTTGCTTCCTGGGCCCAGCCCGGGGACTCCCTGGACCTTTATGCCATCCTGAAGCGCACCCCAGCAGGCTCGCTACTGTGTCCTGCACCGGTTGCCCAAATGACGCCGCCTTGCGGCCAGGGTCCATACCAGCCCCCGAGGCTGGTCCGCGAGCGCGAGCGGGCCTCTCCGCAGTGGCCCCTAATTCCCCTCCTAGCCGCCAGCTCGCCCTACGACCCCGCTGTGGGGGGCATGCAGCCCCCTTGGCGCACTCGGGTGCACCCTCCCGCCAGCTCTGGGGACCTGGCCTGGACGTCCACCCAAGTGACCTCGCTGCAGGCCGGGGCCCGGGAAGGGAGGTGGCATCTATATGAGCATCCGAGACCTTGACGACGCCGCCCCCCGCCCCCGACCCCGGGGAGCCGGGATTGGACAGGGAGGAGTCGAAAGGCTGGTCTTTCCCTTACAGCGGGGCGCTGAAGCTCTCTCGTATCAGCGGAGGGGGACCCCTCCTTCCCCGGCGCTAAAATAGGGTCCCT